ATCAGTGAAATCAGAAGAGCTTGGACCACTTGCATGCTTATGTTGCTGGCGAGGGGCCCACAGGGCTGTGGGCACCAAATTTATGACTTAATGATATTGCTAGAATCCCTGAATCGTGCTTTAGAAAGCACACAAGAATTGGCCTGTCTCCTCCGCAGAGAAATGTATCTCAATACTAATCGTAATCACGGCCAACAGAAGCCTCTGCGGAGGAGAGAGAGAATAGCCAAACCTACTTCTTTACATGTTGATAAAGTTGTCATAATAAGAACGTCCAAGCTCCTCCATTAGCAAAAAGTTTGTGGAAAGACATTATTGAGCAATCTAATGTTGCAGTATCAAAAGAATGCGAAAGTCCTTGTGTTTTGAGAACATTGTTAAACTGTATGACTGTTCAAAGTTTCTCATTTGCAGGGATATTGATAAGTACAATTGCAACAAAAAACCCGAAAAGAATGAAAAAGTTTGACAGCCAAATTCAGATGTGAATAGTGTACTTATTCACTACGTCAGTGTGCTCCGATTCTAGCCGTTGTTGTCTCTCAAACCACAATAACTCAAAGTTGAGCCTACCAATGTCTTGTATATTTGATGTGAAACAAAATTTTGTGTAATAGTGATTTACAGTATATATTAATTAGTACAAATTTTTACAAATTATTTAACTAAGGTAATATATTGTTCTAGTCTTATTGTTCATCTATTCATTTATAATCTGTTTCAATAATTATCTTATACCAATGTACAAATTATTGCATATTACTCTTTTGAAGCAGTGCTGTCATTAAGTTTACAAGTAGGTGGCCCAAAAATGATTGAACATTGAAGGCACAAGACTCCTAGAGGGGGTCTGGGTGCATGCCCCCAACCCGAAATCTAAACAATCGGAAATGCCATTCCCTGCATTACGGAAGGTGATTTACAGAGTTCTTAAGATTACAAAACATCCTATCAAAGCCTGACCTGTTTGAAATCATTTAATCTTTTGTTTTAATTTTGATGTTCTGAAGTACAGGAAGTAAAAGGGTTTTTTTATTCACAGTTTTGTTTATATGAACTTTGTTGAGACAAAAGTAGGCAGCCAGATAGCCAATTGGGCAGTAATTTTGGCCAGCTACAGGCCCTTAATGACAGCTCTGGGTACAAAATCCCCACAAAATTTCTCACTAGATTACTTCTTCTGTTTACGTTAATACGGCAAGGCCTCTTCTAATCCACCATACTATTTACTCCTCTGACCAGTGTGACGACCAGCAACGTTACCTGGCTCCAATTGTCGATGTAGAGTGATATGCTTTTCTGGGGTAAATTAAAAGTAGGAATAGCACCAGCTACAAGCCAAGGTGGGAACTAAAGCAGAACATAAAACACCTGATTATATATAAGTTGACTTTGTACAAGTATGGTTAAGATAGTAATTATAATGTCTAAACTTCACAGCAAACAAGATAGATAATAACTGTAAATGGGGCTTTATTATACTATGACACGCCCAAACAAAATCCTGTTGCTTTATTTTGCCACTTTTTGCTATTAAAATAGCCTTTGAATATTGTATAATACTTTGTTTTAATACTGTATACGAAAATGTTTCTACTGTCCTCAGTGACAGTGTTCTGAATTTATGTATACCTTCATTTTATGAACACAAGGATTAACTGTTATATAAATATGACCGAAACGCACTTTTATGCAAATCATTAATAAATATATATATTTCCTGCTCCATATGGCTACAAATTTGATCATTAGATACATGAAATATATACGGCAAGCTTCTGCTAATTAAGCTGTAACTTTCAAGCGTTCATAACGAAATATCAATACTTCTACCAGATAAACCTGTTAGTTAGTCATAAGAAAATAACTTACATGTTTTGGCCGGGTCTTCCCGAAGTGTCTTTCACAAACGTGAAGTGTTTGTTGAGCGATTTGATTTCGTAAACTTGCATCTATCTCGCGATCCAGCGTCCTTTGTGACAAGCCTCGCCAACGTTTCCCGGATTTTCGTCGATAAATCATCGTCTTTTGTTGAAATTCAAAAAATACTAACACCAAAGTGTTTTCTACTAGTCCTGCAACCATATATGAAGCAATTTGCTCCTGGTGTTTGGATATTCATTCTATAAAAGACTTTTTTCAAGTACTACAGCCTCTTCTCTAATACATTCTCCTAATACTAAATAGATTTTGATGCACCCGTATTGTCACGTGACAGAGAACAATAACATAATTTGGCCACGCCCCCAGCTTCCAAACCCTGTCCTCTATTAACTATGGTCAAACATTGTGCATAAATTGATCACATAAAAGCTCAGATATATTATACAGATGTTTGGTAGTATAATAAGTGCTTGTTGACTGCAAATTCATTTGTCTTTCGTTGCAAACTTTTCTGAACAATTTATATGCTCAATGAACATGTTTTTTTCGCTCTTGTTTCGGTATTAATTCTTTAAAAAACTTGTATTTAATAAACTAATTTCTATGTAATAAATGTATTTTGCTAACCTGTCGATTTTTTTTGAGAGTCTTTCCTTGTACGATTATCTTTCTCAAAGCGAATATTTTCCTTTTTTCTGCTTGGCAAAACTTATATAGTTTTTGGACCGCCATATTATTTTTCGCTACTCGCCGTACATGAGCTGATATACAGCGAGCAATTCAGCCAATCAGATTGCAGAACAGCTCATATACGGCGAATGACTATATTAATATTGGATAAAACAGACTGCTGTATATAAAGAGAAAAAGTTCTCGAGTGAGATATATCATAATTTTCAGACAGCGCGCAAACAGAAAACTTTGCCTGCCACGGATCAGACGGCTGGGTTTTGAACCCGCGACTTTCGAATAACTAGATCGATGCTCTACCAATGAGCTACACGGTCAGGACGAAATTTCAAATTGGAAATTATGAATTCATACATCCTCGGTCCCAGGGCCTCACGGTTGACACTGCGTTGCCGGAGGCCCTGGCGAAAACCAAAACCGGAACTTCAAAAATCTTGTAGTTTGCCGGAAGTAAACTTAATAAAAATGCTGACTCTGCATCTTTTTTTGCAAGGAGTGAACTTTAAGACTTTCTCGAAAGAAATAATGTTTTACATGCAAGATAAACATTAATTTGTTCTGGTTATTTCACCATTAAATGTTTTAATGATTGACCAAATCAGAAAACTAAAGGATCATCTAAATGTTTCAATTATGAAAGCTGTTCAAGTTGATGAATCGAAGGATACAATGGGTAGTTTGGGAGAGTCATTGTATACGGACAGCAATCAATTTGAATTTTTATTATAATCGACGAAATATACAGACAATTTAAAAGCGATTGTTGTGGACGAAGCCCAATCTTATTAGTGAATGGTGAGTGAGTGATACTGATATATTTGGTTGTTTCTCAATATTCTTTCTTTGCTATATTAATGGTTATCTGCAAGACTGTACACATACAGACAACATATATTCTGTTTAATACGTCTGGTCTAAACGCTGCATTTTACATGTGCCAAGTCTAGAAAAGTTTGTTCAACCTTTTAAGTGCTACCAAATTATTTTACTCAGCTTAACATGCCAGATGATTGAGTGTACTGGTGAATGTGAGAGTACTACTGCTCAATGGGTTAATCAGATTATCTATTGTACTGACTATCTTACTGTCTAATGTCAGACAATTTTGCTCATCAAGGGGAGAGTGGGTATAATTGCAAAGTAATTACTTTGCCACTTTGGACAAATGTATAAGTTACATATGTTTACTACGTACCGGTATGTACATTTAAATCAAAATGTCAAACTTTATTATTTGAGTCAAACTTTATTATTTGAGTCAAACCATGTAAATTCACATTAGATTTGGCACATGTAAAATGCGGCTTTTAGACAGAGACAATGAGCATAAAAACCTGAAATATTATGTGCATCCCACCCACCCACCCTTGCCTCCCCCCCCCACGTTAATCTTGGTATCCCCAGATAACGATTGTTTGTAGGATATACAACTACCTGTAAGGTATGGTGTGACTGCATACTACAAGCTAGTATCATATTCAGTTTAATACATATATATGACTTGAAATATGTATTTTCTTGCCAGCCATTTTCAATCATAAAATTATCCATGTTGCTGTTAAATTATGATTGGCCTAAAATTTTTGGCTAAAGATTGTTTTAATTTATAAACATTGTACTACTACTTTAGGAAGGATTTCAGGCCTTGCTAGGAAAGGATTGGTATATCGGGAAGTTTGCTTCTTCATCAACTCAGAGAAAGAAGTTGCATCAACTCAGAGAAAGAAAGAAATTTCATCAACTCAGAGAAAGAAAGAAATTACATGAACAAACTAAACAATTTTGTGTCATTGATATAAATAATGATTTATTCTTACAATTTCCTCTATGAAAATTTGGTGTGTTAATAAAGATACTGTAAAAAACAAATAACAGCTTTATGGTGCATCCATGCTGTGCTTTAATATTGCAGTGTATGGTGTAGGAAATGGGGGTGTGTGGGTACCAGTGTGCTTGTGTGTGGAGGCCGGATGCTCCAGGAGTTCCCCGACAAGGAATATCAGGTTCCCAACAGGGGGCTATAATCTTTCAAACAGTAAAATTATTGTTTTGTATGTTCAACTTATGCTCACACATGAAAATGTTGAATTTTTTGGCTCTCATGAAATGGTGCAGAATTTATTGTCTGTAACAGTGCATTTACAAGCACTACAAAACAAGGTCACTACAAAACATAATTTTTCCCAGTACAAAGCAAAGTTGCAGTATTACTATTAAACAATATAATTTGTCAACTGTAAAAAAACATTGATAGCCTATAAATTAAGCTATACATTGCATGAAATTTAAGGCAAAACAAGGTGGAAGAACTAACATTTCCAGCTATTATATTAATCACTTTGTCATTATTAAATAGTATTAAAATACAATATGTCATTATTAAATACATTTAGTATAAAATACAATATTTTTACATAAATTAAGATCCTTTGATGAAATTGATATAAAATCAATAAAGTAAGTCTATTAAATATAGTATATTATAAAATAATTTATATTTTATAATATACTATATTTAATATAATATTATGTATGGCTTGGACCCCTCTTGCATTGAACAACCACACAGACACTCATTCACGATCAGGATTTTCTCATTTGTAATTGAAAGATGCAAGACATCACTCACAATTTTTGTAGATTTGTACAATTATAAACGGTACAGTCTCTCGCATAGCCTTTCGCCTGTCTTTGTTTATACTCTGTATATAATTAAATCTCGTATATAAAATGTCCCATCGGCTTCGGCGATTTCAATCTTTAAATAATCCAATGTCCAATTTTGTGCAGCTTTTTAATGCATTGTGACACAACATCCAACATCTTTTATATTAAAAATAAAATTTCCATTGATAGACAGCAGATTTCAACGACCAAAACGACTCTTCGTCTTTTTTGAAGAGTTAATACACTCCTATCTACTCCTATAGTCAGCCATATTTATTAGTAAAAGTTCGTGTTCAATTTCCGCATTCCATTGTTTTCATGCGACCAATCAAATCACTTCTCGTTTTGGTTTTCGCCAGGGCCTCCGGCAACGCAGTGTCAGCCGTGAGTCCCTGGGACCGAGGATGGAATTCATATTGAATTTAATTATGTAACATATTAGGCCGCCATTATGCCCAGACGCCCATGATATCAAATTATAGTCGTCCGCGGAACGTGCTCAAGGTATAAATGATGCAACAAAATGTATTGCGCTGTATTTTATTATGAGAATTGATTGAAATCCTTTACAAAGAAAAAATACATAGAAATAGAAAAAGTGATGAGTAAAATAATAAGCCGTTCGTCAAGGTAGAAATGGACATTACTTGAGCTTCGTCAACCAAGCTTACAAATGAGGAATCTCCATCTTCTATCCCTAAGAAAACAAAGAAAAAGATGAGAATGGACATGACATCATGAATAAGAATTCCCCTGTATTAGGCCATGCAACTACCTTGCTTATCGGAGAAGGACGAAACTCAAGCCATGCAGTCAGCAGAGCAGATAACATAGATACAAAGTACTATATAACTTAGATACAAAGTATTACTCGTTCAATTTCCATAGATACCAAACCATTTTGCCCTTGTCATCTCTATATACTTCGTATAGACCAATTGCGAAACTTAGCGACCGCGCCTTAAACTGTACGAAAACGAGGCGTATTATACAAAAACAAATCATTCTACTATATTTTTATATGGCGAAAAATGAATTTCAGTGCTTGAGACGCGTTTTTATGGTAATCTCATCATTTTTTTCTCAATATTTTTGTTTTGCTATGTAAATCTTTATTATACTTGTTCATAGATTTAGTCTTACTTCAAATTTCATTCTTTTTCGCGGCGTGCGAGGCAAAGTTTTGCTGTTTTTCGCCGTCCGATATTAAAGAAGCAGAGTATACTAGAGAAAGAGTCAGGTATTTTCCGTCTGTTTTATTAATACATTTCAAAGGATAAGTTGTAACATTGATTAATTTTGTTTCAGCTGTAATATAATAGCAAGTTTTCGATTTTAACTTTAAAAATATGAGAGTATAAATGTCGGGCAAAAGTTGTAGAAATTTTATATTATTATCCTTTGACAGAATCGTTTTTTCTCGCACGAAGTCTAGCAAAATCTGGGTAGAAAGAGTTATATATTTTAGCTTGTTAAGTAGCTGCCTAATTTATTTGCATCTTGATCAGATTTTAAAGTCTAGATTGATATTTTCCACATGTTTGTTCCATCGCATGCTAAAACAAATGTCTCTCCAAAGCGGGTAAAAAATTAAAAATATAGTGGGAAATCGATGTTTAGATAAATTTAGCAACTATTTATATAACCTAGCACGAAATATTAAGAGATAAAAGAGATTCAAGAAAAAACACTTTAAAACCCTAAAATTCACTTTTCGCAATATAAAAATATAGAAATTGTTTTGTTTTTGCATAACAAGCCTCGTTCTCGTGCATTATGAAAGCGCGGCCACAAAGTTTCGCAATTGGTCTATGAATACATTTTTAAACATATTTCTGACAGCCAGCACATAAACAAACTGAAATAAATATTTGTAGGACTTACTCGTGCCCATTGTGATGATAACTTTTTGTCCCAGTTAGGAAATAACCACGGGGTACGCCGTAGTTGATGTAAGCATCCCAGTTATTCACATAGCCAGTCCAGACACAATTACGTACGCAATTCTTCTTGGTGCGACAACATTTGAATTGGAATCTTCTGTCTTCATGACGATTACTGTGATAAGAGTGCCAACCTAGGATTGTTTTAGGAACAATTTATTAAGTTACTTTAGGAATAACTTATAAATGTTGTAGAATACAGATGGCGTGTGTTTGTTTCCGACTAATACATTGTAATACTACATATAGGCTGATACTCTTACTGTTTCTTTTTCTGCTATTGGTAGTGTTCTGTATCTGTCCTTTTTCGTACTGATTGTCACTATTACTGACACCAATACAGTTATCATTACTTATACTCTAGCGTGTTCTTTTGTTTTTATTGTTATCAGTGCCGTACACAGCGGGGGAGGTGGGCAAGCGGGGCAACTGTCTCTCCAGGGAAAACTATATTTACGATTTTTAGAGCCATTAATTATTCATTATTCCTTGGATATATTGATGACTTTTTCCGGCATATAGGCCTTACTGCCCCCCGGATGAAAAAATCCTGCGTACGGCCCGGTTGCTACTGTTGCTGATGCACCGTATCATGTTGATTTTACTATTTCTTTTTACTGTTATTGTTATTGTCATTATTGTCACTGTCACTGTTGCTGTTGCTGTTGCTGTTGCTGTTACTGTTACTGTCACTGTTACTGTTACTGTTACTGTTACGGTTACTGTTACTGTTACTGTTACTGTTAATGTTACTGTTACTGTTACTGTTACTGTTCTGTTACTGTTAATAGAGAGTTTAAGTTCGACTTCGGATACCAATACCGATACTAACAATATGTCGTGCGCATGCTCTCTTCTCGCAAGAAGCACGAGGACAAGTGTATTGGAAGTCACCACTACCGAAGTCGGTCTTGTATTGGAAGTCGGGGGAATTGTAAGATAAGCTCATATAAATCGGATATTTCATAATTTTTACGATAAATTAAACATGTAAACTATTTGTTTATTAGCATAGCCTGAGTCATGTTTTAGTCGGAATTTTAGCTCAGCTGCCGTTTAGTATGCCGCTCATTTTTGGTGACAATTAATATGTTCTATACTTTATCTGTCGTGATAACTTAACGCTTTAAAATTCCCGGTACCAAATGAGAACGGAAGTGAAAACAACGGTATCGGTATTGGTATTGGCAGTCGAACTTAAACTCTCTACTGTTAATATTACTGTTACTGGCAGTCGAACTTAAACTCTCTACTGTTACTGTTGCTGTTGCTGTTGCTGTTGCTGTTGCTGTTGCTTTTGCTGTTGCTGTTACTGTTACTGTTACTGTTGCTGTTACTGTTACTGTTATTCTACACTTAGCTTGCACCTACAATTACTCTTAAAAATGCTGCTGCAACTGTCGACTGTGCTGTTATCCGTTGCTGTTACCATTAATTTTACTATTTTTAACTGATACTGTTACAGTTGCTCATATTGTTATTGTTGCATACGTTTTCTGATTCTATGCCCATTGCTCTTACTGTTGCTGTTGCGGTTACTTAGTCGTTATTATTTCTGTTAGTAATGAATTTGTTTTTGTTCTTACTGTTACTGTAAATGCAGTTGTTCCTTTTGTTTCAGGTATATTATTAACTGCCATTTTGGCTGTTGCTGCAGTTGTCGCATTGTGTTACCTTTCGTGTTTCGATTATCTTCATGACGGCACGTACCTGTCAGTATTTGTCACATAAAATTTACCCAAACAAAATTTTGCTAACAAAAGAGTTGTGAGCTATTATACCAACCTGCAATAACTCCATTTCGACATTGGTATAATATTTCGCGGTCGAACCAATTCACCCATCCAGACCATTTGCACGACGATGTGATTTTGGAGTTATGTCTGCATCGAAAGGACCAGGAACGATCTTCATGGCGGTTGCTGTGAAGACTACTCACACGCGAGATAGAGTAACCTAAATGATAATATACTAAAGTTGTCTGTACCAGTGTCGGTAGTACCGTCATTACTATCTTAAAAAATAAGCAGAGAATCGACGTTTCGAGCGAAGGCCGTCCTACTACTAACTCTTGACGAAGTACCTTCGCTCGAAACGTCGAGTTTCTGCTTATTTTTTAAGGTAGGAATATAACCACTCAGCACAGCGTTTAACCTAAATGATTGATTATCAAACAAGCTAAATTGTTGATAACTTGTTACCATGCACCAAGTTAGTAGTGATTTTTCTATATACCTTTTTCTCTCGTATTATGCCCGATATTTTAGGTATCCTAATCTGGAACTCGATTTTTACTTGAATATGCTGTAGTAAAATATATTGTCTATACTGCATTGGGTGTTGGGGATGGATAATTTAGGAACGAATGCATTTTAATATTTTTGCTGTTTTAATATTTTAATATTAAAACTACAAAAATAACGAATGCTGTTTTAATATTTTAATATTTTTTTATAAGTGAACATAACAAATCCTACAAGTTGATTAGTCAAATTTACGCATTTTAGTACAAATTTTCCATATCAAATGAGCTTTCGCGCGTTCTGATTGGATAGTTGACTAGTAAATCAGAGGCATTATTTACCACTTGGGTATAGTAAATAATGTTTTCGAAAATAATATATTACTTCGCAAATTTGGTTTCAAAATCGACAAAATATTGAAAAAATCGTCCCCAGAAAACGAAAGAAAGCACAAAATGTTGTATTTAACTTGAAAGGTATGATTCTTTTTTTATTTTACTGTGTTAAACATATTCACGGACAATTTAAAACTGATTTAAAACCGGAGTTTTTGTTTTCAAACAAATAGCAAAAAGTATTCCAACTGTTCAAAGGGAAAAACCGTGCCGTGATATTCTGGAAAAACCTTGCCGTGATATTCTTTTAAATCCATTTTTTGTATCCTATAGACTTCTCAATTTGTACTGTACTATTTATTTTTATATGTTATGTTTTCATTGTTAAGTATGGCGTTCTGACCGCTGTATTAAAAAAACTTTATATCCAACGATATATATATATATAATAAAACACGTTTATTGGCATTCAGCGATGTCTACATAACTTAAATTTTTATATATGCCATGCACATTTGTATGCCATATTGACAAAGATTCGATACATTTGAACAAGAGTAACATTTTTGAAACTGAGAGAATTAAGCTAAAAACGGCCTATTAAATATTAATACCTTTATATACAAAAACAACCTGTGTTAAGACGCTCTATAATCAGTACGTTAACGCTTGTTGTTCAAAAGCAATCATCTATTCATCAGCAAATTCATGTCCCCCGGCACATCTTGCCCGTGAAATGGGACAGCTCGTTCTAGACTCATTAGAACATACAGACTACCTATCCCACGGGTATCGGATACCTTCTCTATAGGAACAAAACTTTTAATAAAATCGGCCTTATAAGTTCACATCCATTGCCCAACATCGTAAAACAAAAAATAAAAAGTCTGTGAATGAAGAAATATTTCTAGCTATGACTTCGACTTCACTTCATTGAAACAATAATCGCGAACAAATCGTAACGGTTATTAAATTAGTTTAGTAGGGGCTTTTCAGCTAATTATTGGCGGTTCCAAAATGTTTGCGTAAGTTTAAACACAATTATCTCAGTCATAATCGCATGAAAAAGCACCAGACAAATTCTAAGTTAAACATCGCGGAATATAGAGTGATTTATTTAAGTGTAATAGCTCTTTTAGTTTTTGAGTCATAGTAAATCAAACAGTCGTACTTTTTTTGCCCCACCCGGTATATATATTTTAACATTTCATTTACCAAATTTCTCAGCTATTTCCTGAAAAAATTATTGCTAAACAGAAACTATTTTTTATATTCTAAGTCTGGTGAAACAGTCATTCCGTCATTGTGTTATATTACAACCAGTAACACACAAGTCACACAAGAAGCCATTTTGAAAGCGTGTGCGTACAAGAAAAACTGCAGCACTGTTAGTGACAGTAACCGTGAACAGGCTGAAAACAGTTTTATTTCTGAATTTTAGTATTTGAACTGATATTTGGATATTTTATTTTATTCATTAAAAATTTATACTAAAACAACTATTTGGCTCAGGCTCAGTGATTACGGTGAATATTCACCTGGATTCCGTCTCGGTGAATATTCACTGGTAATCACTTCGCCTTCGGCGAATAATTGTTAATTATATGCAACATGGGTTTGATAGGTATAAGCAACAGCAGCTACGTCGATGCATCGCGCATGCAAAATCCGAAATTTCACATAACGATTAGAATAGTTGCATGGAATGTCGATGGCTTCCTGAAGCAGCAATATAGGCCAAAATGGAATAATGAATGTTCGCTAATATACCTTTGCTGCATGTTCTGGTCCATTTTGCATCAAAGTTTGTTCCAGCTTTAATGCAGATTATATGAATCAGAAGAAACAAGGTTGCCAATACGACTTTCATCATGATCGTACACTATATAAAGAAATTAAAAATGTACAAATTTAATTATTCAGTGTAGTCTAGATATGCACGAAGGACGTTATTGAATAATATTGCAAGTGTAATGCGGTTTCTGATGTTATTCTGAATGTACAGTATATATATATATATATATATATATATATATATATATATATATATATATATATATATATATATATATATATATATATATATATATATATATATGGTGCTGGGAAGACGAATGTGTCGATTTCAAGTACCCCAGTATACATACATGCAGAGCTGTTGAAGTGTGGTGAATGATAATGCTATATACCCGGCACATTTTCATTTCCGCATCATCACACCATGCTGTCTTATTGGGACTGGACTACATTAGAGAGACTGCGAAATAGCAGTAATTGTGTCACTGTACGCTTATAACCTAATTTCTTGTTAAAAACTCCTCAAAATGCAGGAAATAGCTTATCTGCATGAGCTTCAAGAAATCCAAAATTTCTGGGGGGGTGGGCATGCTCCCAGATCTATCCACTGGCTCGCACCTTCGATTGTTCACTCGCTAATTCACAGATTCCTACAGTTAGGCCTGATCTGCTTCCCTATAAGACGTAAACTTATTTGTTAAACCATACATATTGATGCTGGTAGCTGCAATGATACAGACTTGCCGACTGGAACTTCTCGAAGCCCCCCGCTATAAATATGTCCCCTCCAGTTACTCATCTTTAAAAGAGGCCTGTGAATTATTATCCCCGAGCCGACGGCGCGAAGCGCCGTGCGAGGGTACTAATCCCCCCCCCCCGGCTATTTACACCCGCGGAAACGAAAGCATTAGCGGAGTCTAAAGTTCATCAATTATCGCGGGCGTGGGTTACCAACGGTGTTGGCTGGGTGGTCATCCTCACTGATCTCAAAAATATGGTGGATTATCACGAATTGCGGACACTGATTGGACCAATTTAAAGTTTGCATTATAACGACTGCATGACGACAGCGAAATAGCAAACATTTCTTGATTTGATGATTGATAAATTCTTGCAAGTATATTTCATTTTGCTCGCATTATTGCAAGATTTTGTAAATTTAAAAAGCTCTCTGAGAAAGAATCTGCGAAAGAATCGGCTAAAAGAAGGGAGCCGACGTTAACGAAGGTAAGTTTGTTTCAAATATTAATTTTATAATGGATTTAAAATCCGACGGCCTTTGCGTATATGAAACAACTAAACAAAACAGCATATAATTTCAGTGTATCATTAATATTGAGTCCCTTCTTATGATATTGAATTTTTTAAACAAAAAAAGAAAGCAAAGTTATTTGCAAACTCAAAGTTTATCGATAAAGCCATTTTAAAAGGCAGTTTAGTTTTATAACACTATAGTGACTTTGAAAACGTTTTGCGAAGCGTTTGTGGTTGAATTTTACCTTAAATTGAGGCTTATATTACGTATAATAACATACCTAACATATATATGTTGGGAAATTAATAATTTTGTAATTAAAAGTGATATTTTTAGGCGATTTTTCATTTGAAAGAATATTCTTAAAAAATTATCGTGTTACCATGACAACTACTTTAGATACTTCATGTTCGGAAAATAGAATGGTTTTGTCAGCAAGGCGAGACTTTCTGCATGCATGTATTTTCTAGTATGGAATTAAAGCACCATTTCCTTTGGAATGGCCGACTGTCATTGGCTGAAAAGTACTTTCAGCGGTCCATTCTTTCCCCGTAATGGACCAGCAATCCACCAAGTAAAAAACCCCGCATGTATGTTAATTAATTATAATAAAAAAAACCAGCAAAACTAGTTGAAAATTTGAAATTATAATTTAATTTGTTATTAATGAGATATCTGCGAATGGCTTTTGGTGCAGAAGAAGGAATTACGTTGTCATTCATCGTTTTCTACTACCAATGAAATGTCTACAACGCTGCTAATATGTATTTCAAATCATGTATAAATGGCAATAAATGCCATATAATAAACCTTTTATTAACCTCGGTATGTACATACAAAAAAGGCCTCGGCTCGATATTTCTCTGTACAGGCCTCGGCTAATAACAAGTTACTAGAAATACGTGCATGCAGTAACCCCTCGCCAATATTTTCCAAACATTAAATTAACATGAAGTATTCAGAAAGGACCCACTGAACGCAGGCTCGCGCTCAAGTGTTGCCATGACAACAAGATATTCCTAAATTTTAAATTTTTTCATATTTTTTGTACAAAACTGCAAAATAGTTTAAAGATTCGTACTTGTAACTATACAACAATAAATTTCCGAAATATATACTGTATAGGTAAATTATTTTGCATTGTTTGCAAAATTTAACTTGAAACGCCTCGTAAAATGTTTTGAAATGTTCATTCACCTATAGTTCATTTGCCGATAAACTAATAATAAAACATAAGTTACAAATAAAACAAAGTGTTAGGTAATTTCAGTTAAGTCTTCAAAACAATTTGTTCTCTTTTACATTTTAAAACATTTTTTCCAATTAAACGGTAATTTATTAATCTTAGAGCTTCGTTGAAAAGGAAAACAGTTTATGTTTTAGGCAAAAAGTTTGAAGCAACAAAATTCGTAATCATAGGCTATACTAACCATTAAATATTTAAAGCAAACTAGCCGTATATTTCACGATTTCCCATAGTAAATCAATCAAAACAAAATTGCTTCAAGCTTGTTGTGTATGAAACGATTTTCCAAATACATGTGTTTTAAAATAGAAATTTTGCTCATTCCACTCCTATACAAGCAATCTGCCATATTTTTGAGATCAGTGAGGATGACCCAGTGAACTCTAATAATAACTGGAAGGCTAACTCCTATGATGAAAGTCTATGATTCGTTGAAGCCGGCGCGCGGGAAAATCAGCTTTCAAAAGGACTCAGGAGAGTTTCGAGGAGTGAAAAAAATTCTGTCAAAAGTTTGTTTTCGAGCAAAAATTTGCAAGAAAAACACTTTTCCCATGGGAATACAACAATGATTGGGATTTAAACCAAGTTTCCGATTAGTTCCAACTGTTTTACATCTCTCTGCAGCAAAAAGTAAGGAATTTTGCTTTTGTATTTTGAAAAAATGACGAAAGTTTGGACGTGCCGAAGGAAATCTCGCCGTTCAACTCAAAAATATATACTATAAAACAATTTGACAGTCCCAAAACTTATGTTGTACTAAACCCCAGGTATTGTTATTGATCCTGAGCTTTTAGTCCTTGTTTTAGTCGCTCTTAAACATAAATAAATTGGCGTTTTTCAAGTGATGTTATTTTCGTCATCGGCATCTTGTTGGCCACTATGAGCACTTTGAATATGGCAATATTTTTGTCAATTTTCAAATGCTTTTTTTTCGACCTTAAAACGTTAAATCTTCTTGAAACTTCGCATACAGATGTATTTTGCATGAGTATAAAAAATTCCTGAGGTATGACGTCTTAGTTTTATCTTAAACTTCCAAAAACTCAGAAAAAGCAGCCTAAAACGCGCGGTTTTTCAGACCGTTCATGCTTATGGTCGTGTTTTTCGCATTTTTTTTGCTAATTCGTGATTTGTTTGCTTTGCGAATATTAAATTCATTTATCATACTACTGATATAAATTAAATTTGGTAGTATAACTAATATTTTGGGGCAAGATTTAGTGATAAAAAAATGTGCATATTTTGAAAAAAAAATTTAAAAAGGACTGGGTCTACCTACAAAAAAAGCTTCAAGCACGGCTTCAACTTCTCCCCCCCCCTGACTTAGCCTTCCAGTTATTATTAGAGTTCACTGAGATGACCACACACTCAACATCGTTGGTAACCGATCGACGCGCGCGATATTTGATGTTCGCTAATTCTTCGCTAATGCTTTCGTTTCCCGGTTGTAAATAGCCGGGGGGAATTAGTACCCTCGCCCCGGTCTTACGCCCGAAACAGCGCTCCGCGCCGTTGGCTCGAGGATTGATTAATACATGACAGTACATGATGTTTTCATAACGCCGCGCTTCTCCAAGTAAGTACTAAGTTACTAAGTAAATGCATTAATTTTCAAGATGTAATTTGCTCGTCAAACAAGTAAATTGCTCTTCGCAATAAATTGCACCAGGTTTATACCACACAATTTAAAAACTATCAGCATTTACACTTGTAGGTGCATTTTAAAAACATTTTTGAAAACAGAGCACTACCCCGAACATAAAATTGAACACTATATGTAATATTTCAAATCCGACTAAGAGGACTGGACTTAATTTGAAGTCCGAGCAATTAATTTGATCAAGTCCGAGGAGAAGCCGAAAACTGGATCAAAATGCAAAGACTTGAAATGTAGTCCAGTCATCATAGCCGGATAATTGGAAATGGTGTCTTAACTAATTTTGATTCAGTCCAAGGACTGAATTAATTTTGATCCAGTCCTAGGACTGGATCAATGTAATTCATCAGGTATTCAGTATTATTATGTGAGCAAAATAAAGCGATATGGTTGGCTAATTTACTCATGAATTATTAATGATTTGAGATTCAGACGTAAATCAGAACGCTGCCCAAACATAAAACAGAACACCACTCAAACTTGAAACTGGAACCTGCCCGAAATGAGTACACCAGTAGTAATATAGAGGCCGTTCGACCCCCTTTTTGTGGTGGCGTGTGGTGGCGTGTGTTGGCGTGTGTTGGCGTGTGGTGGCGTGTGGTGGCGTGTGGTGGCGCGGGGCGGCGCATCATCATTAGCATAGATTGTGGTGACGCATCATCATTAACATACGTCATAATTATATACAATGACGTCACGCGGGCGAGCTTAAACACGATCGGGCGAAACTTGCTGACTACGCATTTTTTAGCGTCCTTTCACGTGTATGATACAATGGAGGGATTAATGTTGGCTTACTATGAACTTTTATACAAGTGTCTGTATAAAATCTACAAGTGTTTTGTAGCAGGCATAGTTCTGTATTTGTTCCACATCAGTCATGGCGTGTCTACACGGTAAAACCACATCTTACAATTTATTGGAAGGAATTTTTGCGAGTGCAGTCGCACAAGGGGTTGAAAGACTTTGTGTGTTGAATAGTTTGTGTCCCTCGCATGGCAAAATTGTTATCGAAATTAATATGTAGCCGTATCTTTGCTCGGAAGAGATAAATTTCCACATGTATATTGACGGATTTT